CTCCAAGGTGATTATTTTGAGTGACAATCCTCATGTGGAGCATGAAATTGAGTAGATTTGACAGGGCTGCTGAAAAGCTGGAAGAGCACTGAATGCCGAGTCACGCACGAAGCCTCTGTCGGCATCCCTGCCCTGCATCCAGCTCCCTGAGAGGCACCGTTTGCATTCTGTTGCCGCCTGGGGGCAGTGGAAGTCATCTAACCTTTCTGAGCTTCCTTCCGCATTTGGGACACTGTTGAATGACACTTGCCGACCCGGTGGTGATAATCAGGTGAAGCTGACAATACGAAAGCCCTCAAAACAGTGGGGCACTGGAATAGAATGTGGTAACTCATTCATCGTTAACCTCCGGGTGAAGTCCCACAGTCTGAAACCAAGGCCTTCAAGTTCTTAGGAAACACCAGTGATGTAATAATTAGCCTTGGTGAGAAATCCCAGAATCACCCGTGTGTGTGAGGTCCAGTTACTTCTGTGCTCAGCTTGATATGTAAAGCCACCAGTAGAATCCATTTGTTCAATTCCACAAGGCCCAGAAGACCAGCGGATACTGCTTGCTTTGGAATGTGGGAGCCTGGATCTCAGCACTTTTCACCAACTCACTTTATCCTTGTCTAGAGTAATGAGATCAGAGTAAACATACTAAGGAGCTGGTGCTTTACAAACCTTTATGGTATTTTAGAAGGCCAGGAATGAAATCTTATTTATCACGTGTAGGACTGGGTTGGGCGAAGAGTAGGACAATAGTGGGTCTATTCTGTCTGTGGGCTCAAATATGTCCTTGGAGATGCCTCCTGGAGGCAAGACTATGCTATCCATAGAAGGCAGAAGTGAGAGCCAAGGACTTCACTCTTTCCTAATCCTAGTTCTTTCACAGCAGCTATTTTGAGTTTTCGGTTACCAGTCCAGGAGCTCACAAGTACAGGGACACTAGAGCACCATTTCTGCCCGTGGCAGGGATAAACAGCTGCATTATGTTGGTCAAGTTAGCTAACCTCTCTTTGCCTTGGGTACCTCATCAGTAAAGTGGGGAAAATAATAGAACCGATTTCCTTCATATATGTAAAGCTTTTGTAGAAGTGAGAAGCTAGAAAAGACAGCATTTAAAAGCATCAATTCTGGGGCGCCTGGGTGGCTCAGTTGGTTAAGCATGTGCCTTCGGCTCAGGTCATGATCCTGGAGTCCCGGAATCGAGTCCTGCTTTGGGGCTCCCTGCTCAGTGGGGCGTCTGCTTCTCCCTCTGACCCTCCCCCTCTCATGCTCTCTCTCTCATTCTCTCTCTCTCAAATGGATAAATAAAATCTTAAAAAAAAAAAAGCATCAATTCTGAAGATAGATTGCCTCGGTTCAAATCCCAGCTCCACCACTCATTTGCTCATATGATTTTTTTTTTTAAAGATTTTTATTTATTTATTTATTTGAGAGAGAGAGAGAGAGAAAAACAGCATGAGAGGGGAGAGGGTCAGAGGGAGAAGCAGGCTCCCCGCTGAGCCGGGAGCCCGATGTGGGACTCGATCCCAGGACTCCGGGACCATGACCTGAGCCGAAGGCAGTCGCTTAACCAACTGAGCCACCCAGGTGCCCGCTCATATGATCTTCTAAAAATTGGGTAGTTATAGTACTAGCCTCATAGATGAAATGTGCTAATGCATGGATGGATCTAACAGGGTCAGCACATAGTGAGTGCTATACGGAGCCTGCTGTTACATTAATTATTACTTGTTTCTGGGAAAAGTCTCAGACACTGTTTATAAGGATATGGAAATTAAAAATTAAAAAATTTCCAACATTATTATTTTTTTTCCCTGTGTTTGGTTCTATTAACTATAAAAGTCACATCATAGTGATGTTGGGATTTCCTTCATTTTCTAGGCCATGTCCTAGACTTTGGCCATGTCCCTCATTTAACATTTTCTCTCTCTTTTTTAAGGATTAGATATTGGCGTATATTTTAGTGGATCTTTATTAAGACTCTTTTATTCCCTGCTTTACTTCAAGTTCAGCATCCAATTCTTTTCTTTTTCTGAAAAGCAACAAGTCAATGAATTTTAAAGGCTGTGTACAGAAGGGATTCACACACATTGGGAGGATGATAAATGAACGAAACATTTGTTTGGGGTAATTTCTGATTCTGTCTCTTCTCCCCTTTCCTCAGAGCATTCATTTCAGTGTTTTTGCCATTCATTTACTCCGTCAGTATTTATTGCGAAGGCTTGTCAGGCACTCTGATAGGCGGTGGAAAATCGGGATTCTGACATTTGAATGGTGTTTTACAGCTTACTGATCGTTTATGTTAAATTCATTCAGTCCTCCGAGGTGCTCACTTCATTTCACCCAGCTCTTCCTCCCCTTCTAACTTTATATTTCTCATAACCATCCTCATTTCTTTGCTCAAATCTTTAGTGTGCAGAACATTTGCAAAGTGCATGGGGGGCGCAGTGGGGTGGGAAGTTGACTGGAAGAGAAGGTGGTAGGTGGGAGGGAGATACAAATCAGATGAGAATGTAGGTCAGAGATGTTTCCCATACCTTAACACTTCAGGACAAAAGGACAGAGCACTGTCTCTTATTTAGGAAAGTCCAAAGAGTCACTTGCAAAGGAACAATGACCATCCATCTACCCGTCACCAGAAACTGGATTGAGACTAGACACAGAGCTGGCGATTTCCCAACCCCTCCCTTACCTTAAGTATATTTAACATATGCAAGCCAGAGTTATGGTCCTCCCTTCGCTTATAAACACGCAGGCCCTTAAGTCCCAGTACTAAAGTTCCCCAATTACACTTCCTCTTGAATTTCACAATACTAACCAACAGACAAGAAATAGAACATACCAAATTGGCCAGAAAAGTATTTCTCCAGTCTCAGATCACCTGTGTCATTCATTATTATGCCCCTCATGCACAACCTAGACTTCTATAAGGAAATACCAATGGCTTCCTGCAGTAGGACTAGCTTGTGGTGGATGAACGGGTTATGTCAGCTGGCAGAGACTGAAGGTAGTATGCTGCTGGTGTGCAGGCATGCAGTATCTCTCACATTTGAGCTTATACTGATCTCTTCAAGGGTACTTTGAAGATTCACAAGATACAAGCCGATGATAACCACAGATAAACTTATACTGTGAAATGTACCAAGCTCATTCCTTACTTAGATGCCTTTAACTTGCTTTGCCCTCTGCCTGGAATGCTCTTCCTCCAGGACTTCCCATGGTTCTCTCTTTCTTGTCATTCAGCTCAAATGTCACTTTCATGGAGAGGTCCTCCCGGCCAGTCTATACAAAGTAGTATCTCCACTCTCAGTCCCTCTATCTCATTTCACAATTCTATTTACTTCATGGCATTTATCTCTCCCTAAAGGGGACTTACCTATCTCTATACTTATTATCTCTCTTCCTTACAACACTGTAAGCTCCAAGAAGGCGGAGATTATTTTTTAACACACTGCCTGGAACACAGTAGAAGGCACTTAATGTATATTGGTCAAATGAGCAAGTGAGCAACAGATACTTATTGAATATGCCTATTATATGCTACTCCTATTCTAGGCACTGGGTATGTGCTAATGAATCAAGCAAACTCCCTGAACTCTTGGGAGTTTGCATTCTAATGCGGGGAAACAAAAAACAGAAGGGGAAGCTGCTTGGGTGGGGCTGTGCTATATTAAATAAAGTGATCAAGGTCTTGCTGCAGAGTTTTGAAGAAGGTGAGGAGGGTGGCACCTGAAGAAGGTGAGGAAGATAAGGTGGGGGAGGGTAAGCCTTTTAGCAAAGGGGATAGGAAGTGCAAAGGTCCTGAGCAAACAGTGGGGAGGCTAAAGTGGCTAAAGCCAGCAAAGTGCTGGGTGAGTGGCAGCAGAAGGGTGGAGAGGTGCTAGGGGGGCAGCTCCAATCCTGTAGAGTCTTATAGGCCAATGAAAGGAGTTTGTTTTTTATTCTTTTGTGAAATGGGAAGCCACTGGGAGGCTTTGAGCACAGAGACATGATCTGATTTAGGTTATAATAGGATTCCTCCTTTTGTTCTGGTGATAAAATATTGTAGGGGACAAAGGGGGATGTAGTTAGCAGACAGTAATGCAATAATCCAGGTAAGAGATGATGGGTGGCTTGGTCCCGGGTAGTGGGCGAGGGATGGGAAGAACTTGTTAATAGTCTGGAAGTATTTTAAAGGCAGAACTGAAAGGATCTGCTGGTACAATGAACAAAGTAATGATATAAAAATATGTACAGAAAGAAGGCTTTTCTGGGGTTTATAGAAAAGAGACTGGTTTTGTCAGTCTCGTGACACTGATATGCCAAATAGTAGCAAAACCATCTAGAAATTCAACATTGGAACTTGGAACTTTGTGTGTCACCTATTATTTATCCCAAAGAACAACCAAAACAAGAGCGGTCAAATATATTCAGTACCAAAGTCTGTACTTGCAATTAAGTGAGCTGGTTTGGGGCTTGATCATATTTCAGCACTCTGACATGAATGAGATAATTGTTTCAGCAGACATAAACATTTCAAAGTAAAAATGACACCCATGAGAAGACTGTAAAGCTCATTGGGTAGTTACAACAAGGGTAAACATTATTACCGAGAACAAAGATCTCCCCTGATTTATCCTGACTGATGGTCTGTACTTCAAACTGATCTGACAACCGCTCAGACTTCTGACCCTTTGCCTACTGGGCTACACGGAAAGCGCTCTGGATCCGATTCAACCTTGCATTCTTCACGAGCTGGCGCTGGCAAATAGAGGTGCACAACACGTAGTCATTGACGCGGTGATTTCTTAACATCCTTCACCGCCCTCTCTTCTGTCCTCGTTCTGTAGTGCTCAGTAGCGCTATATTTTACTTTCCGAAGTCAGGGTCAGATAATCACCACAAATATGAAATTTCAGAATGTGTTGGGCCTGGTTAGGCTGGCACGTGGAGGGAGCAATCCAGAGGGCTCCTCGGCCTGGGAAGCCAGGGAAGGCTTGGGGCGGTGCGGGAGAAGGAGTGCTCCGGGCTGCCGCGTGCCCCGTGAATGCAAATGTGGACGGAGGAGTTACAACACAGGTGGGATCTAGAGAGGGCCTTCCCCAGTACAAAGGCCCTGAGACAGAGGACGGCCTGGAAGGACCGCGGTGCACGAGAGAGCAGGCGCACCAGGACCTTTGGGAGGAGAAACACGCAGGGGCTGAAAGGTGGTTTTTCCAAATTACGTTAGATCCGCAAAACCTCCTTGTTTTGCGGCGAGATTCAGCGAAGGCTGAAAGGGCCCAGGAGGCGGAGCGGTTACTTCGGCCTCCCTACTCGCCCGACAGGCTGGCCTCCACCCTCAGGGGAACGCGCCACCGAGTCACTCCTTGAGCGCACCCAAGTTCTCCCGTGGCCACTGCAGCTCATTTCCTCCTACCTTGAGGTCTCTCAACCAATGAGTTTGCCTCTTCACCCAGAAAAGCAACTATCGGTGACAGTTGTATGGCTGAAGAGTGAGGTGAGTTTTTTGTTTCTCGGGCTTTTTCGAGGCTAGTCGTTAACGTCAACAGTATCTGGTCGCCTCCGGACTGGGGCGGCCCCTTCCTCCCTCCAGATTGTTGGCGGCTCTTGAGGACTTTCAGCAACACCACAACCGACCAGGGCAGCGCCACAGCCCCAGTGTTTAAAGCGACCAGTTCCGGAGGCGACCGGGCCGAGGCGGCCGCGCACTTTGCTGCTGCCCGGGCAGGAGGAACCGAAAAGTTTACGTCCTCCTTCCAGGCGGGGTTAGGAGGGGAGAGGGCGCCGTGACAACCCCTCCGAAGGAAGCTCGTCTTCCGAAGCGGCCCGTCCCAGGCTCTGTCCATCTTGGAGGGGAAGAAAGTTGGGCGGGAGCGGGAAGGGTTCGAGCGCGGGCCCGGCGAGGTGGAGGTGGGGCGACTGGGGAGTCGGGTCGCCCCCGACGCGCGCGAGCCGGGGTGGAGTCAGCAGCCGGGCGCGGCGTCAGCGTTTAGGATGCAAATCGATTCCCCGC